GCTGCTGATTGAGACTGAGTGAGACTGGCTGGACATGCCCTGGAGCCCTCCCATGTTCCTCCCAGGCCCTGGTTGTGCACCAGTGGGGTTTCTCAGCCTGGCCTGTGCCCTCTCACAATCCGGGACCCCTCAAGGGATGTCAGCCAGTTTTTTTTTTTTTTTTTTTTTTTTTTTTTTTTTTTAAATATATTTTATTGATTTTATACAGAGAGGAAGGGAGAGAGATAGAGAGTTAGAAACATCGATGAGAGAGAGTCATCAATCAGCTGCCTCCTGCACACCTCCCACTGGGGATATGCCCGCAACCAAGGCACATGCCCTTGACCGGAATCGAACCCGGGACCTTTCAGTCCCCAAGCCGACGCTCTATCCATTGAGCCAAACCGGTCCCGGCATGTCAGCCAGTTTTGATCTGATCCTGCAGGCCAGGCTAAGGGACCCCACTGGTGCATGAATTCGTGCACCGGGCCTCTAGTATATAATAATATTTATGGCAACATTGTTGTTAAAGCAATAGCAACAACAACAAAAATTAAAAACAAAACAAAACTAGAAACAAAACCACTATTTATCAACAGTATTTTGGATATTTAAATTGTTTAATTTTTATAAAATAGAACACAACATAATTTTGAATTTTTAAAAAACTGACGAAGACATACAACATGATTCCATTCATTTAAAATTTTTAAAAAGCAAGTAGTGAAACTATACTTATATATATAGTATAGAAAAAAACAACAACAATTTATTTGTTGGAAAAGCAGATCTGTAAATCATTTTCAAAAAGGGGAAAAAAAGACCATATACAAAATGTAGATTGGTGATTGCCTCAGAGCTGAGAGAGGTACACAAAGATTTTGATACTGTTCTGTTTCCAAAGCTAAGTGGTCAATGAGTACTTGATCTTTGTAGTATAATCTAAGCTGTACATATACATTCCATACACTCTTATATGTATTTTACATTTTAATTTTTAAGAAATAGTCAAGTATGTCAACTTAGGAGGATTTTATCTAAATAGTTAATCAAATATTTGGCCTTGAAAAAAGCAATCTCATTTACCATTGCACCAAAAAAATTAAGATACCTAGGAATAAATTTAACTAAAGATGTAAAAGACCTGTATTCAGAAAACTACAGGACATTGAAAAAAGAGATAGAGGAAGACATAAACAAATGGAAGAACATACTATGTTCGTGGATTGGTAGAATCAATATTCTTAAAGTGTCTATATTACCAAAAGCAATCTACAATGGACAAGAATGATGAAAAGGACATAGCAGACGGATGTGTGTGTGTGTGTGTGTATGCACACAATAGTCATGTATTGTGGGTACATAATTTAGAGTTGCTAATTTGTGTAAACACCCATGAAATGATTATGATTATATTTAAGAAATCCTATATAATAAAAGCCTAATATGCTAAGTGTCTGGTCTTCCAGTCATCTGTTCAACCAATCAAAGCATAATATGCTAATGATATGCTAAGGCTGCTCAACTGCTCACTATGACATGCACTGACCACCAGGGGGCAGACTCTCCCAACTGGTAGGTTAGCTTGCTACTGGGATCCAGCTGATTGGGACTGAGCGAGATGAGCTAGACATGCCCTGGAGCCTTCCCACGGTCCCTCCCCAGCTGGCCAACCTCCCACAGTCCTCCTAGGCCCCGATCATGCACCAGTGGGGTCCCTTGGCATATCCCTCTTGCAATCTGGGACCTCTCGGGGATGTCAGAGAGCCGGTTTCAGCCCAATCCTGCAGGCCACGCCTAAGGGCCCCACTGGTGCACAAATTCATGCACCCAGCCTCTAGTGTGTGTGTGTGTGTGTGTGTGTGTGTGTGTGTGTGTTAGTAGCCCTGTGCACTAATTCATGTGCCAGTAGCTCTCTGCAGGGCCTGGCCACAGCAACAAACCAAGCATTCCACCAGGCTGCTTACGCTGCCCACTCTCAGGGGCCGCCCATTCCCATCCCCCCTTTCGCCCCCGTCCCGGGACTGGGGGACTCTGGCAGGGCTGAGAGGACTGGGTGCTGCCATTTTTGTAATGGAGTGACAATTAATTTGCATATTACCCTTTTATTATATAGGATATATATATATATATATATATATATATATATATATATATATAAAATCATATGGAATTGATGTGGGAGTGACTAAGAAAATATGGGAAAATGTTAATCATTTGTGAATCTAAGTGGAGAGTACATGGGAGTTTATCATACAAATGTGCAATTTTTCTGTATAAATTTTTAAAGAAAATATATCTCTTTAGTTCAATGTTTCTCTGACCTAGTAGCACATTAGAATGGCATGAGTGCTTTTAGAAACTACAAACATTCTGCTGGAGATTTTGCTTTATTTGGTCTTAGATGAGGTCCAAGCTTCTGAATTTCTTTGAAATATTTCTGGAGAAATCTTGTTTCTTTTTGTGCTTCTTTTGCTTCCTTTAAAACATCTTGCAAGGTTCCAGGCATAAAACAAGCTCTGCCCTGGCCATTTAGCTCTGTTGGTTGACTGTTGTCCCATGCATTGAGAGGTTGCTGGTTCAACTTCAGGTCAGGGCACATGCCCGGATCATGACCAAAGTGAATTCATTTTTAAAAATATGTTTTATTGATTTTTTACAGAGAGGAAGGGAGAGGGATAGAGAGAATTAGAAACATCGATGAGAGAGAGTCATCGATCAGCCGCCTCTTGCACACCCCGTACTGGGGATATGCCCCTAACCAAGGTACATGCCCTTGACCGGAATCGAACCCGGGACCTTTCAGTCTGCAGACCGACGCTCTACCACTGAGCCAAACCGGTTTCAGCATGAATTTATTTTTAAAAAGTAATTTCTTAAATGTAATCATCATTATTTCATGGCTGTTTACCCAAATTAGCAACTATAAATTATGTGCCAACAATACATGACTATTACCTGTAATATGTGTGTATCTTTCCCCATTATAATAGATAGGAGGCTTTCACCCTGTCCAAGAACTGTACTAATTGTAATTTTAGATGGCCAGTGCTGCAGGACTTAAATACTCATTCCCCTCCCCTAAAATAACCCTGTCAGATATAGAAAATGGCCCTGGCTTAGCTCAGTAGATAGAGCATTGGCCTGCAGACTGAAAGGTCCTGGGTTTGATACCAGTCAAGGGCATATGCAATGGTTGCAGGCTCAATCCCCAGTGGGGAGCATGCAGGGTGCAGCTGATCAATGAATCCTTCTCATCGTTGTTGTTTCCATCTCTCTCTTCCTGTTCCTTCCTATCTGAAAATAATTAAAATAAATTTTTAAAAAGAAGATGTTAAGAATAAAGTCAAGTTATATGCGACTTCCAAGGAAAGGCAATATAGATGATTCATCAAAAGTACAGCTGAGATTAATGCTACTAAGCACTTTAGACTTAAAACAGGAACAAGCTGAAGGATGAGTATATTAGAAGTAGAAGTAGCAAAAAAGACAAAGTGGACAGGTGGCGTTGTCAGAGAATCCATCATTCGGAAGGGCAGCTGTCCTCTAACTCCTGAGCAAGGATTCTGGCTTTTAAGACTAAGGAACCAAAATGATCTGAAGGCTCTGGATATATTAGAGAGGACAAGATGAAAAACACTGATAATAAATTATAGACAAGAATGATGAAAAGAACATAGCAGATGGAGACACTTAAATGTATTTGAATACAGAAAAACAAATGCCTCATCTACACTAATAAAAGAGAGATATGCAAATTGACCATCATTTCACAATACCCACTAGCCAATCAGGAGTGAGTTTATAAATTAACCTCATTGCCTCCGGGGAGACTGGTTGGCCATCACTGAGGTGACCCAGGAGCAGGCAAGCGGGGCCTGCAGGCAGCTCCTAGCATGACCTTAGCGACCTGGGAGCAGTGAAGCGCAGCCTGCAGGCAGCACCCAGCATGGCCTGCTTGGTGTGGAGTAGGTAGGCCCCACAGAGAACAATGGAGAATGGGCCTAAGCCATCAGTAGAACATCCCCGAGGGGTCCCGGATTGGAGAGGGTGCAGGTCAGGCTGAATTTTGTGCACTGGGCCTCTAGTCCAAAAATATAAAAGCCTAAGCACCATCTGATTGTTCGATTAGTAGCTATGATGTGCACTGACCACCAGGGGGCAGACACTCAATGCACAGGCATGGAAACATGGAACAGACTGACGAATCTCAGAGGGAAGGGAGTAGGGGGTAGAGATTAACCAAAGATCTTATATGCATTTTAGAGGCCCAGTGTACAGATTCATGCACTGGTAGGGTCCCTCGGCCTGGCCTGCGGGGATCGGGCCAAAACTGGCAGTCTGACATCCCCCAAGAGGGCATTACAAGAGGGCAGTCCAAGGGACCCCACCAGTGCACTGGGCCTCTAGTAGATAGATAAAGCAAGAAAAGGGCCTGAAAAAGTCTGAAAATTCATCTAATACAGAGTCATTATGCTAGACCAGTGTTTCCCAAACTTTTGACATATGTGTACCCCTTCTATAATTTCGTAACGCTAAGTACTCCTCGTACTCATGAGAACATAGAATTAGGCGTAGCTAAGCACGGTGCAGTGCATATCCCCACCAAACTCCGGTGCAACGCGTACCCCCACCAAACTCTTCCCATACCCCTGGGGGTATGCATACCACACTTTGGGAAACACTGTAATGATGACAGCATAATAGACTTTCTGGGCACATTTGAAAAGGGTTCCCCAGCATTGTAAACTCAAGTTGCAGTTTACTTTGGTAACAATAACATGATTATCACTCTCATGAGAGAGGCTCCTGTGTCATAGAAGACCCTAGTGAATTAAGGGTATCTTGAAAAACTCTGGTGAAATTCACTTAGGACACTGAGGATGGAATTTAATTTGTGAATCCTTTTTTTTTTTTTTTTCAGTATTCATTATTAAATTAGGAAGAGAAACCAGTGAGACTGGCAATCTATTTCAATACTTCTTTAATAATGCTCTGAATTTATACAATAGTATGACTAATCACTGTGGCTGCACGATATGCAGTGGTTCTTTATTCTCCCCACCATCATTAAGGCAAGGGCAGAAGTAGGAATAAAGTTTCTCCGTGAAAGTACTACTGAAGGTGTAAATGTGGGTCATGGTTTTAGCATTGTAGAAGGACACCTGCCCTCCTTCATAATCTAAGTATATGCCCACCTGGTCAAGGTTGTTGGTCAGCTTCACACTGCAAGAAGGCAAATCCAGAGCCTTCAGATCATTTTGGTTCCTTAGTCTTAAAAGCCAGAATCCTTGCTCAGGGGTTAGAGGACAGCTGCCCTTCCGAATGATGGATTCTTTGACAATGCCAACTGTCCACTTTGTCTTCTTAGCTACTTCTACTTCCCAGTACCATTTTCCAGACGTGAAGCCTTTTAAGCCCAGCACAGCCACACTTGAGTCAAACCTCTCTGGATCATCGGGCATTACCTGCTTAATGTCACCATGCCACACACTGGTTCGGCTTTTGGACAGCACCAAATTTGGGTGCGCTGTTTTAGGGTCCAGAGTTAATGGAAATAAGCCTAGGAAGAAAGATAAGAGAAAGCAGGGCATGGGAGAAAAGGGGTGAATGCATATTCCCATAGTAGAAGTCTTTATATAAACACCAATAATTTATCTTCCCATGCTAAGTAAAATAAGCCAGTCAAAGAAACACAAATACCATATGATTTCACTTACATGTGGAATTTATTGAACAAAATAAACAACATAGGTGAATCTCAGAAAGCATTATTCTAAGTGAAAAAAAGCCAGACACAAAAGACTACATAATATATAATTCCACTTATATGAGATTTTAGAAAAGACACAAGTGGGGAAAAGCAGATTTAGTGACTCTCTGGGGTTAGAGGTAGAGGAAGGGATTGACTGCAAAGGGATACACAGAAACTTTTTAGGATGATAGAAATTTTTTATATCTTGATTTTGCAGATGTTTACATAAGCATATATATTTGTCAACACTCATCAAATTGTACACTTTAAAATGATGAGTTTATATCTATGAAGAGTAATAGATGCCTTCACCTTTTTTCACTCAGTCCCCCAGCACCCTCTTCTCTGATAGCTGTCAGTCTGTTCTCTATATCTATGAATCTATTTCTATTTTGTTTGTTTATTTGTATTTCTTTGACTGGCTTATTTTACTTAGCATAATGCTCTTAAGGTTGCAAAAGGTAAGGTTTCCTTTTTTTTTTTTTTTTTTTACTTTACAACTGAGTAGTATTCCATTGTGTAAATGTAACACAGCTTTCTTATCCACTCATCTACTGATGGGCACAGACAACAATATGATCACCAGAGGGAAATGGGGGTTGAGGGAAGTAGAAGAGAATAAAGGGGGGAAAATGGTGACAGAAGGAGACTTGACTAGTGTGGTGAATACAGAAAATGTATTATAGAGTTGTACACTTGAAACCTACTTAATTTTATTAACCAATGTCACACCAATAAAATTTTAAATGATTATTTTATTCTATGTTAATTATGTCTTAGTAAAGCTTATTTTTTTATTGTCAATTATTTGGAAAAATTGTTAACAGGGATAGATTTGTGATTTTCATTAAGTCAGTAACTACCCGTGTTTCCCCGAAAATAAGACATCCTCTGAAAATAAGACTAGCGCAACTTTGGGAGAAAAAATTAATATAAGACACTGTCTTATTTTCAGGGAAACAGGGTACTACTAATAATGAACCTATGGTAAATTCTATTAAAAAAAAACTTGTAGAACTTTGTATTTATATAAAGATTTTTATTTAGAATTTTTTGTTCTTGAAATACTATTTGTGTTCTTTTGTCCTGCTCAATTCTTTGGTATCTGCAGGATGATAAAAACTTAGAGTTCATATTAGGCACACCTATTAAAATTATTGGTGTTTTGCTGTTTTTTTGGTATAGTTTTTTTTTTAAGCACTGAAAATCTCTAAACAATCTCCTAAGATATTATACTCCATTTTATGAACATCAAACAAAAAGGACCTAAAAGGCCCTATTACATTCAGAGAGTATATACAATAAATTCCTTCAGGGCAGAAAAGATCCAGGGATTTATATAACTGATTTAGCAAAACAATATAAAATATTAGTTGTCACATTTGACAGAAAAATTAAAATCATAGGCTGAGAGGTAATTCTTTTTTTTTTTTAAATATATTTTATTATTTTTTACAGAGAGGAAGAGAGAGGGATAGAGAGCTAGAAACACCGATGAGAAAGAATCATTGATCAGCTGCCTCTTGCACACCCCCCACTGGGGTTGTACCTGCAACCAAGGTACATGCCCTTCACCGGAATTGAACCCGGGACCTTCCAGTCCACAGGCTGACGCTCTATCCGCTGAGCCAAACCGGTTTCAGTGGCTGAGAGGTAATTCTAACATTAGATTCTATCTACCAGTAAAAAGCCATAAATTCTTAATTCATGGTACCAGAGGAAATTCAGTCATACCAAATAGCTTTCTTTTGCTAAACTCTACTCTTCACCCTGCTCTAGACTCTAAAGTATTAATTAGGGCCACAGAAGAGTCCCCACAGATGAAACATACATTAGGAGCCCCAGCTGCTACCCACTGATACCTGGAGAGACAATGGACTGCATTTCCTTCCACATCATGTACTGGATGGGACCTTTGTACAGGCCAAAGTTCAGCTTTCTGGAGATAAGCTCTTTGGGTGTCAGCACTTTTATTCCTTTCTGCAAGCTGCAAGGGACATAAATAATTTATTTTAGCTATCCTCCCGGGACTGAAGATAGGGTAATAATACCATATGGAAATACCACTTACCTAGCTAAGAAAGGTGTAATGTCCTAGAAGAGGAAAAGAGAAATAGAGAAGTTAGATGCCTGTTCATCAACTGCAGAAATTTCTTTGGTGATACTGGCCATCACTGGGATTTGATTGTCAATATCAATACTGGGACCCTGTGCAGATGGTCCCCATTCCATCGCTACCTCTCGTTTTCCATCTGTCTTTTCTGATCTGCATCCTTCATCTAGCCCAAGATAAACTGGTCTTCTCTTGCTCTTATTTCCTAGCTCCCTTTTACATGGAATAAGAGAGAAGTTAAGGTTAGGCTACATTTCCCTATACTGCCATAGTCTCAGGAGAATTCAAGAGATCAAGCATGTCACACTCTCAGCCTGCAGGCTACATGCAGCCCACAATGAATATTTTTGCAGCCCAGCCAATATAATAGTATGTGAGAAACACTTTAATAACAATTTTGTAACTTAATTTTTATAACATCCTGTTATATTACATAACCTATACTAATAAAAGGGTAATGTGCTAATTGGACTAGATAGACTGGATGTCCTTCTGGACAAAGCTGCTGCAGTTGCGAGGGCCGAGGAAGGCCAGCAGCCAGCAGTGGCAGCAGCAGCAGAAGCTGGGTGATGGGGGCGGTGCCTTCCCCTAGCAGGCCTAAGCCATCTAATAAGTCATCCCCTAAGGGCTCCTGGACTGTAAGAGGGGGCAGGCTGGGTTGAGGGATGCCCTCCCCATGCACAAATGTTCCTGCACTGGGCCTCTAGTTATTAACAATGAACTACAACATTCCCTAATGACTGATTACTATAATTGTGTTGCATTCATTTCCCTTATGCGCCTTACGTGCAGGTGCATCATTTCTCTCCACTAATACTAGCAGCGAATATTTTAGCAGCCAATTGCCACGTTATTAGTCTTGTACTGACTTATTTGGAGTGCACAACAGGAAATACTTCACTTTGGACAATAAGAAAAATAGGTTTATTTGCTTTATGTTTGTTAATTTGTGCAGTTATTCTGGTAAGTTAATGTTCAAGAAAAAAATATTAATTATTAGGTTATTGATTACTCATTCATTTCAGCTTTTGTATTCAGCATGTCTCTATCGAAATAAACCTATGTTTCTATGAAAATTGGAAGCTTTTGGTTTTTTGCAGCCCACATAAACTTAAACCTTGTTTATTTGGCCCATGTTAGCCTTTGAGTTGACATGCTTGCAGTAGGTATTCCCACCCCAAGGCCACTTTTCCTGACTATGGCTAGTTAAACTGCTGAATGCTGAAGTGGTAACCAATGCCACATTAGAAGTGAACCTTCAATGACCAAAGATTGGCAAATAGCTTTTCAAACAGATCAATGTATGTTGCTGGGAGCAAAAAACACAGCTTAGATTGCAACATTTATATTTTTAAGAAATAAAGCTTCGCCAAAACCGGTTTAGCTCAATGGATAGAGTGTTGGCTTGGGGACTGAAGGGACCCGGGTTCGATTCCGGTCAAGGGCATGTACCTTGGTTGTGGGCATATCCCCAGTGGGGGGTGTGCAAGAGGCAACTGATCGATGACTCTCTCTCATCAATGTTTCTAACTCTCTATCTCTCTCCCTTCCTCTCTGTACAAAATTAATAAAATATATTTTTTTAAAAAAAGAAATAAAGCTTCAAAGTTTTTTCTGAAGAAATATTAAAACATATTGTTATTATTGGGATTTTATTATCGTCTTTTCTAGGAGAGTGGAAGGAAAGCTTTCTATTGAGTGTGAGGCAAAAGTAGCTTCCTGCTTTTCTCCCATAGAATTTAAAAAAAATTTTTTTTTTATTGTTGACATTATTGCAGATGTCCAGCATTCCCCACTTTGCCTCCCTCCATCCAGCCCCTGGCAGGATCTCCCCCCTACCCCCCCCCACCCCCCCACATTGTGGGAAGTCCTTTCTGACCCTTTTCCCTCCAGTAGCATACCCATAGTCATGTTGATATGGAGTCTTACTTTGAGAAAGTTGAAGGAGTTCTGCTCATCCATCCGGGCCTGGACGCTCACCATCATATCCTTGGCTAGGAGATACTGTTCCTGAAGCTGTTTCAGATTCAGCTCCATTTCCTCACTCAAGGCTTTCCCCTCTTCCCGGAGCTCATTTAAAATGTCCTTTTCTTTGCCGTGCAGAAATTGATGCAGCTTTAGAAACTCCACGGAGATGTGTTGCTGCAGATGTAGCTTGCTTTCCTGGAAACCTCCATGATCATCACTAAGGTAATTTCTGAGACTAGCTCTTGGGGATGGGGGCCCACACCACCAATACTCACACAACTTGGGAAATACCATAATGGGAAAATGCAATATCAACATTGAACCACACTAAAAGGAGCCCTTTTTTGTGGCAGATGGGGAGACTTACTCCATCTTTCTTAGCTAGTTTAAGAAAGATGTTCAGGATGAAATAGCCAAAAGTGATGGGCAGGTTCCGATTGAAATACTGAGATGGTAACCATTGCCATATGAAATAAGACTCTGGGGTTAATCAAACATTCTAGAATGAATGATAATACTCTCCTACCCAGAAGTATAAGCCAATATCTACCAAGGGATACTGTTAGAGTGGGGTCATAAGGAGATGGAGAGAAATATCCTTCTTGAGAAATCAGAACATCAGAAGTGGGGGCGGGGGGAGGGAGGGTGCTTTTGCTTCCAGGATAATATAAAAGAAGGGATGGGAGCCCTGGCCAGAGTGGCTCAGTTGGTTGGGCATTGTCCTATGCACTGAAAGCTTGCTGGTTCAATTCCTTTTCAGGGTACATGCCCAGGGTGCAGGCATGCAGGAGGCAGCCGATTGAAGTTCCAATCTCACATTGATGTTTCTCTCCCTTCCTCTCTCTCTAAAAAAAAAAAAATCAACTTCTTTTTTTTTTTTTTAAGAAGATTTGGAAAATGATAACTGATGTACTTACAGTTCTTTTCTTAGATGACCTTAACATTCTCATAGGAGAGCCATCTGAATAACGTGGCTTCTTGTTTCCTTATTCTCATTTCTAGTGATTTCCACCTTTATCTTAATTCTTAATTCTTAGTTACACTGAGGATTTTGTCATCCTCAGCAATTTCACTATCTCTAAAATGAGCTTTTTATTTAGGTATCCCTATTGCAATTTTAGGTCTCATTGAAACCTGTGTACTGACCCCTTCATTTCTATTTCTTCAACTTCTGTCTTTATATCCCCTCTTATCTAGCCTGGATTCTATGGCCCATCATTCTTATTGTACTCTTAAAATAGTCTAAACTCTCTCTTTCCTCTAGATCACACTTGCCTTGTTTTCCTTTCACTACTATTTCTGTCTTACTTGTTAGTTCTACAGTTACTTGTTTTTTCTGTCATGGGCTCTTTTTCCTTCTCATTCTATATCTATCTGTCTATTTAACATCCACACTCACACCTAACATCTAATGAATCACTCCATCCAGATAATTATTTTTTTAATTTCCAAAGCATATGCTGAGGCTGTTTACGTTTTTCCATCTTCATTGTCTCTCTAGACCAAGCTACCTCTAGACCAAGCTACCATATGGGGTCAAGTAGTAGCTTTCTAACCATTATTCTTGTCATTATCTCTCTTAATTCATTCTCCACACAGCCACCAGACTGAAATTTTCAAAATGAAAAGTATATCTTTGGATATAGCTATCTTTAGTGGATTTGCCATAGATAAATTTCTTATTTTGCCATAAATAAGAGAAAAGACCAGAGAAACTACAACCCCACAAAAATAACCCAGCAATTGAACCATCAAAAGGAAGAGCATATTCGGGAAAAGGCCAGTGTACTCTCTCTGCTTATCAACTATAGGGAACTTACTCCACTGCTATGTTCCTTTCCACCTTACTGTGTCCATTCTTTAATTTTATAACCCAAGTTCCATTTTCTGTATTGACACTATTTGTATAGTTACCTTCCCACCCAAATGGCTAAAGCTAAAAGGAGGGTATATTCTAGTTCTATCTCATAACCCCCTACCCTGCTCCTCACCTTGTAAGCAGTAATAGCATCTTTCTGCGTGCTCCTCAGGGACTGAAGATCCTTCAGGATTGCCTCCAGTTGACCCTTCATGGTGTTAAACTCCTCCTGGGAATACCACATAAATTCAACCCACACTGACTTGGGAGAGGAAGGGCCATAAGGGACATCTCCCCCAAAGCCCTGGTGTGTCAGGGGAAAAAGCCAGCTCTTGCTCTAAAGGTCTTTCCTTTCCCCTATGTCATAGTTCCTGTCTCTTCCAAGGAGAGTGAAGGAAATTATAAGGGGTTTGAGGATGGTAACAGGACTGTATACATTTTCTACCCTGGTTACACTGTTCTACTTATACCTTTACTCACATTGTTCTCACTTAGAATAGTTATTTCTTCCTCTTGCCAATCCAAATCCAAATGATTTTCACGTTCACACTTTCTTTTACCATACGTCCCCTGAATGTTTCAGTTTTTTCTAATCTTTTCTGAAATTCTACACATTTATGAATTACTAGTTTGACAAAATTTAGGTCTCAATAGTAAACTCTAAAATTACTTTTTTTTTCATTTTGACTAAATTTCAAGAGTTTTATAACAAGAGCAGTATTGTATGCATTCACATCCTGCATGGTGTCTAGTAGAGCATTATCATGGCAGGATTTAGGTAAATATTTGCTTCAATGAATAGTAGGCTACAGGTTTTCCACTACTCCTTTCCCATATTAGCACCTCAAGAGAAAGAACATTGTAAGATATATTGCATTTTCTGAGCATTCTGATCTTTCTAATAATCATCTGAATAAAGGGGTGAAATTGGAAGAGAGAAGAAGTCCTACAGAAAATATTTCTCCAGCTCTCCTAACGGGTTGATCAAGGCTCACCCACCATGAAGGAATGGACAGCGTCAGAGATCTGAAGGAACTCTTTAGACTGCCCTCCAGACAACCGAGCATCTTTGCATTGAAAACAGATCATCTTCCCTTCTGTCTTACTGAACAGTTTCAGGTTCTCTCCATGTTCTGGGCATTGTGGATGACCCTTGAGTAAGGGTAGATCCTTAATCTTCTCTACCAGCTTCTCCAGTACAAGGTTGAATGCACAGTTGCCATATTGACACAATATCTTACACTTAGGACAGAATGTTTCCTTTTCTTGCTGCTTCCAAAAGTTTTGAATACAGGCCTGGCAGAAGTTGTGGCCACAAGTTAGCATAAGTGGATCTCGGAACCAGTCATTACACAGTAGACAGTGTAGCTCCTTAGTAATTTCTTGTATCTGCCCTTTAGAAGGTATCTGAGTGATCAAATTCTTCACTTCAACGTAGCTGCTTTGGTCAGAGCTGGAGGAGGTATTGGGAGTTACCTTTGGAAAAGAACAGTTAAAATGAGTTCTCTCTCTAGCTACCCACTTCCGGATAGTGGACTCCACTCCTAAAGAAGTTGAGAATTGGTGCAGCCAAATTAAAAGCACCATAATCTCTTCTTTGAAAATGATCCAATAGAGAGAAACCAAGATGGCGGCATAGGGTAGACACCTGAATGCAGCCTACCACGATAAATTTGAATTTAGAACTGGAAAACAGGGGAAACATCACCCTGAAGCGCTGGATGGCTGGCTGAGAGGAGGCTCTACCATTTGGGAAGGAGAGAGAAGGCACGCTGAACCTCAGGAACTGTGAAGGTGCGGAAAACTGTGCGCGTGAAAAGGCAGCGGTTGCCAGACTTTGCTGCTGGCTTGCTTGCGGAGCACGGAGAGGGCAGGCTGAGTTCATTGCTGGCTTATTCCCGCGCGCAGACAGGGCGGACAGCTAATGCACAGCTGGTTTTCTTGTTCAGGAGGAAAACAGAACCACCCTATTGCTCTGATAGACAGCCCCAGACAGGGAGAGGCCAGATTGTCAGGCAGTGGGCAGAGATCTCTCAGAAGTGTGTGAAGCCAGCAGCCATTACTGTGGGACTCAGAAACCAGACCCTTGTGGAGAGGGGCTGACCAAAGCTTGTCTGCACCACCCGAGACTCCGCCCCATCCAAGCGTAGCACAGAAGCCCTTCCAATAGCTAGCTTTCTTGTTCAGGTGCAAATAGGACTCTCCTAGGGAGAGACAGACAGGAATCCAAAGCTTGTCTGCGCCTATACAAAAGAGGTGCGCACGCCTGCAACCAATCTTGCGGGATTCACCAAAGCTTGGCTGTGCCACCCGAGACTCTGCCCCATCCAAGCGGAATACACACACCCTCCTAGCTGGGACACTTCTGATCCTCACAGCCAATTGGCTTGGAGATCAACGCTTCCCAGTGATACCAGCAACAAGCAAGGCTTAACAACAAGACTGCACACACAGCCCACGAAGAGCTACACCAAGACTGTCCACCTCAGGTAACTGGGAGGCTGACCCACTGAACCATATAGGACACCTTAGCACACAAAGCCACCCTACCAATTCAGGGAAGCTGTGAAAATGCCGAGACAAGGAAACAGATCCCTTTCCCCACCCCCATTGTCCTCATCTATAGGTGCACAGTTTTTTTTCAGGCTCTTCCCGCACCCCCCACTCCTCTTTTCCCTTGAGAATCGTCAGTTCACTCCCCTTCCATGCCTCTGATTCTATTATATTCACTAGTTAATATTGTTCATCAGGTTTTTTAATGCCCTTGGCTTTTAGTTTCACTTGTTAATAGTTACCTTTGTTGATCATAATTTTTATCTATATCTTCTTCCTCTTCCTAAAGAACCCCTTTCAGCAATTCATATAATTCTGGTTTGGCAGTGATGAACTTCTTCAGCTTTTTTTATTATTTGTGAAACTCTTTATCTGGCCTTCGATTCTGAGTGATAGCTTTGCTGGGTAGAGTATTTTTGGCTGTAGGTTCTTGCTATTCATCAACTTGAATATTTCTTGCCATTCCCATCTGGCCTGCATGGTTTCTGTTGAGAAATCAGCTGACAATCATATGGGTGCTCCTTTATAGGTAACTACCTGCTTTACTCTTGCTGCTTTTAAGTTTCTCTCTTTGTCTTTTGCTCTTGGAATTTTAATTATGATGTGTCATGGTGTGTTCCTCTTTGGATTCCTTTTGTTTGGCGTTCTGTGTGCTTCCTGGATTTGTAAGTCTATTTCTTTCCCCAGGTAGGGGAAGTTTTCTGTAACTATTTCTTTCAGTATATTTTCGGTATCTTGCTCTCTCTCTTCTGGGACCCCCATAATTCTTATGTTGGCTCGTTTGAAAATGTCCCAGACTATCTTCTACTTTCTGGATTCTCTTATCTTCTTGCTTCTGTGGAGAAGTATCCTCTGGCTCTTTGTGTTCCAAATCTTTGACTTGATTCTTGCAATCTTCCATTCTGTTTTTAGGAATCTGTATAATATTTTTTATTTCACACAATTGTATTCTTTATTTCTAGTTGATCCCTTTTCATATCCTCATAGGTCTCATTTATTTTATTGGTCTTTTCTAGGAAATTCTTGAAAAACCCTATAAGCGTGGTTTTGAACTCTATATCCAGTAGCTTCTTGTCCTCCATTTCTTTTGTTTGTGATCTGTTTCCTTGTCTCGGCATTTTCACAGCTTCCCTGAATTGGTAGGGTGGCTTTGTGTGCTAAGGTGTCCTATATGGTTCAGTGGGTCAGCCTCCCTGTTACCTGAGATGGACAGTCTTGGTGTAGCCCTTTGTGGGCTGTGTGTGCAGTCTTGTTATTAAGCCTTGCTTGTTGCTGGTATCACTGGGAAGCGTTGATCTCCAAGCCAATTGGCTGTGAGGATCAGAAGTGTCCCAGCTAGGAGGGTTTCTGTATTCCGCTTGGATGGGGCAGAGTCTCGGGTGGCACAGCCAAGCTTTGGTGAATCCCGCAAGATTGGTTGCAGGCGTGCGCACCTCTTTTGTATAGGCGCAGACAAGCTTTGGATTCCTGTCTGTCTCTCCCTAGGAGAATCCTATTTGCACCCGATGAGAAAGCTAGCCACTGGAAGGGCTTCTGTGCTCCGCTTGGATGGGGTGGAGTCTCGGGTGGTGCAGACAAGCTTTGGTCAGCCCCTCCCTACAAGGGTCTGGTTTCTAAGACCCGCAGTAATGGCTGCTGGCTTCACACACCTCTGAGAGATCTCTGCCCACTGCCTGACAGTCTGGCCTCTCCTTGTCTGGGACTGTATCAGAGCAATAGGGTGGTTCTGTTTTCCTCCTGAACAAGAAAGCAAGGCTCCACACATTAGCTGTCCACCCTCTCTGCATGCAGGGAGTAAGCCAGCAGTGAACTCAGCCCGCCCTCTCCGCGCTCCGCAAGCAAGCCAGCAGCAAAGTCTGGCAGCCGCTGCCTTTTCACGCGCACAGTTCTCCGCACCTTCACAGTTCCTGAGGTTCAGCGTGCCTTCTCTCTCCTTCCCAAATGGTAGAGCCTCCTCTCAGCCAGCCATCCAGCGCTTCAGGGTGATGTTTCCCCTGTTTTCTAGTTCTAAATTCAAATTTATTGTGGTAGGCTGCATTCAGGTGTCTACCCTAGGCTGCCATCTTGGTTTCCTCTGAATCCACTATTTTCAAGAGGCTTGCAGAAGATTGAGGCAGGGCCATAGTTGAGGCTATTTTCTTTATGAAACAATATGAGCTTTTATAGCCCTTACTTGCCCCCACGATAGCACTGCAGGGTTGCTTACGGTGTAGAATTTATCTTCTCCATTATTCCTCACCAACAGACTTCTTCCCACAAATATGGCTTATTTGCCCTTGTTCAACATCACTTTCCCTATTATCTCAAATAGTAGGTGTAGGAAAGCTTCTATTTCAGCCTTGCCTGTTCTCATTGTTGTGTACTAGGCTTTATGCCTCTTGAGGCACTTTCTTTGGAGAGCTAGGACACTCTTACTTTATATCATATCTGCATGACTAGGAGTTTATTATCACATTCCAATTTGACTTTGACATTGGGCAGTCCCTCCTTATAGGTTATAGTCCAGGCTTACAGATGTCTCTATAGTTACACTGCAAATAGTGTTTGTCTATTTTTCATTCTCCTTGTAGTGTGAGTTAAATAATGATGAATTTCTGAGCGAAAGAGAAAAAAAAAATAAGTTTTCTACTATATGAAAACCAAAGCTTAAATTATTTTTGACACTTGATCCAATATTTGTATGTACTTAGAGAAGGTGGGGAGAGGATAGAGATTTTTCAATATGTCCTCCATAAACCATCTTGATCAGGTTGGGTAACATAGTTTCAGCAGTAATCAGTGTGTATACCCATTCTTAAAAATAACAAGTTGAATTTCCCTCTAGCCTACAGGAATGAGGAGTCAATGTCAATATTAAGCAGGGTTATAGAACAGGCTTATGCACAATTCTTTGTAAATCTGTGTGGGTTTTTTTTTTTTTAATACATTTTTTATTGATTTAGGAGAGAGGAAGGGAGATATAGAGAGGGACAGAAACCTCAATGATGAGAGAGAATCATTTAAAGTCTGCCTAATTATCTTCCCAAACCTGGATCTTGCCAGCCTAGACCTACTGCACACTGCCTACTGGGAATTGAGCCTGCAAGCCAGGCATGTGCCCTGACCGGGAATTGAACTGTGACCTGTTGGTTCACAAGTTGACATTCAATCACTGAGCCACACCGGCCAGGCAAACCTGGGTTTTTAAACTAAGATTCATCCCCAATATCTACTAGATACATTCCTCATAGCTGCTATCATTCCTATAGGCCATGCTAAAGGTCAAGCACACATATACTATGTAGCCTCTACTCCGTCTCCCAGGCCATAAGTGATTAAAATACAGGTGGGCTTCTGACCTACTCTTTGACTGTTCAACATTCCATGATGTGACCTAATGCAACTAATAATAATAATAATAATAATAATAATAATCTGGCAAGCTAGAACCTCTTATAAATTTAACTCTGAAATAGATAATCAGGAAATTAACAGTTAAAGCAGTCATTTAAAGATTGACATGATGCCGAAACCAGTTTGGCTCAGTGGATAGAGCATAGGTCTGCCGACTGAAAGGTCCCAGATTCGATTCTGGACAAGGGCATGTACATTGGTTGTGGGCACATCCCCGGTGGGGGGTGTGCAAGAGGTAGCTGTATCTCTCTCATCAATGTTTCTAGTTCTCTATCCCTCTCCCTTCCTCTCTGTGAAAAATCAATAAAATATATTTAAAAAAAATAAAGATTAACATGAGGTAGAATTTGGGACATGAAAGGTCATGGTATGGAGAATCATAAGAGCACAATCTAGGAGCTTGATTTTAAACAAGGCAGAATAAATACAGAAATGAAGTTGGAGAGAGTCAGTTGGTAGAGAGACAAGAATTATAAAGAAACAAATGGGAAGAGTGGCAGTGTAATGAATGGCTCTTCCTGGATTTCTGT